TCAGAAGCAATATTCTGGATTTTAAAAATATCACTTAAATTTAGATCAAGCTTTCTAATTTGCTTACCTGCAAAGAATCCAACAACGATTACAAAAAAAGAGGGTTGCTGCACTACCTCTCCTGTAGTATTGATTTTTCCTTGCCAGAGGAGCTACAGTGGTAATTAATATTTACATCATGGTAGTGCCCACAACCCTGATCATGATTAGGGCTTACTGGACTAAGTTCTGTATAAATGGCACCAGAGTTCCTTGTCCCAGTAGTTTAACCTCTGAGGAAAAAAGAGGTGTCTCCTACTAACTCAACCACAGTTTCTCAAATAATGCTGGAAGCTGTTTTCCTGGTCTATTAAGACGTCAGCCATTAAAGGCATTTGTTCAGGGAGTGCTGTTGCTCGAGATGACTTTCCAAGCTACTTCACATTCTAGAAGTGAGACAGGGAATGTGGATTCCCAAATCATCCCATATATTTTCCTTACAGCCTGCACCTATTAAGATGCATCTGAAATGATGTTGTACCATGAGCCAAGTACATCTAGTCTTGCATTTAGTTCACTACTAGTTCTCAACAGAGGTCCTCTGAAATCTAATTTAGTACCCTCCTTCTACAAGGAAAAAGGTGTGTTGACCAGAAGAATGACTGTCCAGCACTCGAAACGTCCTTGAGAGGCTCATTAAAATGAGGTAAAAGAGAACTGTGAAGCAGTTAATAAAATCAGGAAGGGATTGCTGATGTACTGTTTTCCACAGTACCAAGCATAACGAAACAAGGCAACTGGCATCTTAAAAAGATTATCTGTCCAAGCAACAGTACGTATCATTTGAGACCTACCTGACACTAAAGTTCATACAACTACAGACGCTGTAGAACCACAAACATCTCAGGTCACAGCACCGCACAAGATACAAGCAGCACTCTACCTCCGTTCCATTTCCATAGAAATTGCTCTGCTGCCATGAAAAGATGCAATGAGTAAGCGATGTCATAGAATTAATCCATGAACTTAGAATTCTGAGTGACCTATTAAAGCGCTGATTCCCTCAACTCCAGATACAACCTTCCCCATTCAACACTGCATGACCCCCAATAAACACAAGATGAACCTGAACGAAGTTTTAAGACTAATGCCATGATTTCCCTA